AATTTTGTTTGAAATTAGAAATAATTTTGACGTTTGGATTTCATTTTGATTAAATGTGAACTAAATTGTCCCGAAAATGTTTTCTAGCATTAACCTTTGTTACTAGGTCCATTTTGAGTCAATAACCTTGAATTTTATTAGACCAAATGCCCTATTTCGAGAAATATGCTAAATTTGGAAATTTTCTTGAAAACTCAAGTTTTTGCCTTCATGAAAATTCTTGAACCAAGTTGATCAATGGAATCTGGCAAACTTAAGGAGTTTCTATTTTATAGAAATTCCAACGGCTAGTTTTACTTGGTTTATATGATTTCCTCTTAAAAGAATTTCCCAAGATATTTTTGGGGAAAATTAGAGGGGAAAATTCTTCTAAATGGTTAAATGTGATTTTTCTCAACTTGTGACACCAAAGGGATGTTAATTGCTTATACGACTCTAGAACTTGGTTATTGGAATATTTGACGAATTTAGCAAGTTTTTTGTTTTAAAGAAACCTCAAAATTTAATTTCACTTGAAATTTGTGGATTTCACTTTGAGAAAACAATTAATGCTAGTTTGGGATTTTTGAGTGAAATTAAATGCTAGAAGACTTGAGTAAACTCGCCAACTCAAAAGTAGAAATTTACGTGAATTATTTGTATGTTTTTAGGAGTTGGTGAAGGGCACAACCTCGGTCAAAGTTTGGAATTCTAGACACTTCACTTAAGGTGAGTATCTTTTGCATGAATCGTGTTTAATTGCTAGTTGAACTACTTGTTAAAAGTACTTGCTAGAGATACCATGAAATGTTATATGCTATGTGATTGCGTGAAATACCACAAGTACAAGTGTTGTAATGTCGATTGGAGCGTGGTCTCGTCGACTAAATAAACCAAACGGATGCACGTACCACGCTCTATTAGAGTGGGAGGTACCTCTCTGCCATCTTGGTAAAAGTGCTTGCAAAATTCATGTTGGAGACGGGCCCGAAAATAAGGGGGAAGTCGTTGATAGGAGACGTGTAGATTGGGGAAAATGTCTACATGGAGAATAGGTTGTGAAAGTTGACGGAGTGTCAACTACTATAAATTACTTGATCAAGCGCGAGGACTTTGGCTCCTGAGAGCCCCGTATCCTTTTTTTGTCATGTTACCTCGTTTTCCTAAATTGTTAATTGCTTACTTGTCCATTTGTACTTGTTAAATTGCCCTATGTGAATTGCATGTTTCGAAGCACCACTGAACTATTGGCTCATCGCTTCCAATTTTTTTTCCTTGACAGGTTCTGAAATGCATGAAGCCTTGGAGAACTAAAAAAGAAATGTTATATTTTGAATGCCCACTTTTGTAATTGTACTTTGGGAGATACTTTAATATCTTTTGGATGATTTTCTTGTGCCTTTGGGAAAATGTGAATCCTGTGGTGCTTCTGTGCCCTGGATTAGGAACTTTAAATTGTAAATTAAGTATTTTAAGCTCGACGTTTTCGTTGGTACTTGGAATTGTATTTTCGGACTGTATAAGTTGAATTGTATGATTTATTTAAGTACTTAACTTGCTCGAGGAGTAAGGTTTATTTTCGATTTATGTTTGGTGATATTAGTTGCTAGAGTGAGTGAGTCCTGGGGAGAGTTAGGCAGGCGACCCGCCAACCCTTTGGTTCGTCTTAGGGGGAAGTGGGGCCGCTACAGCCTTGAATTAGATCTTCGACCTTCGCTGAGTTATTCGGGGGTGTGTTTTATTTTGGGTCTTGGTTTTGGGCCTATTTTTGGGTCCAATCCGTTTGGTTGTATATATATATATACCTTATCTTCAGTTTGTATTCTATTCCGATTACAACCCTAATAAAATCTGATTTTCCCTAAAACTGTTCCTGTGTTCTTGTTTGTTTCCTTATTTGTTGCATCTGTTATAACAATAATAAAGATCAAAAGCTAAACACATTCGTATCCTTAAGTAAGAGATAGCATTGACATGGTCTTTGTAGTTAATGTTCTTAGATTGGATAGTTTTGTTTCAATTGTACTTTCAATTTTTGAAGAGGTGAGAAGCAAATGATTGGAAGGAAGAAAATACCAAATCATGTGTTATTTGTGCATTGCTCTATGATAACTCTAACTTCTATGATCAATCATTGGGAAGCTATGGGTAAGACATTCATAGATATTAAATCCACAAAAAATCGAATTCCAGTTGTTATTTTGTATTCAAAGACGGTCACCTTATTACTACTACTGGCAATATTGGATTTCTTCTCCCAAACGTGTTACGCCAGGTGATTATTGCACAATTGCTCAATTTTATACAATTTTATCATCTTCACCATTTTTAAGTAACGTTTTTAGCAGAAGAATTTTTGTGTATTGATGGTTCGTGAGGGCCTGCTCTTGGACGTAGGTGATAATAGATAGCAAAGACACATGAGAAATTTCTTTGTCAAACAAAAGACTAGTTTGGTTTTATCTTCAGCAAGATTGAATAGTTTAGCAGTCCCCTAAAGAAGAAAAGGAACAAGATTGAAAAGTTAGCGGTCCCAAAAGACAAAAACTGTAGGATCAATGTCATAAGATTGAAATATCTTCCCTAGGCTTGTTTCTTTCGTCCTACATTTTTTTTATGCTGATTCGTTGTCGATTATACATAACCAAAGCTGCTTTTTTTTTTTTTTTTTTGTACTTCTGAACCAATCATGCTTTAAAGTGACAGAAGTCCCCCAATTCAGTTTTCAATTAATCATTAATGAATTATGAAAGTATACACATGGTTATAGTACATTGTGCGATAGAAAAAGTAATATAACATGCTTTAAAAGATGCCCAAAACAAATGACCAAGAATAAATATTGGCTCCATTCGACACCCTAGTTTTTGGGGTGTTTTTATTTTACAAATTTTTTAATAATTTAATCTCTAAAAATCATAAAAATTTTTAAAATACACATTCTAAAATACCCAAAAATACACGCCTACCTCCCTCCTCTACCACCACCCTCCCACCTCAACTGCACGCCGCCACCGCTATCTTGCCTTTTCCTCTTTTTCATTTCCTCTCTCTCTCTCCCTCTGCTCCTCCCTCCTTAACCAATTGAATTGCATCTTGAGTTTTAACACAATCAAATCTTAAAAGTTTTGAGTTTAAATTCTGCTTTCTCCTTCTTTATTTTTTAAATCTCATCTTTTTCCCTTAGTGGAAAATTAAATAAGAAAACAGAAGTCATGGCTAACACGGTAGTAGACATCAAAGCTCAACAACAATTTGTTGTGTAACTTATTCTTTTAATATCTATGAATTAAACTATTAGATTATATCTAGTTTTGCTTGCACTAACAGTGTAAATATTTCTTTTTATACATATAATTAGACGGGTGATAGATAATGTCTTCAAATTTGAATTTCTCTTTTTGTACATGTATCACTTGTGTCAACTTCCTCTTGTAAAGAAATCTTTGCATTCTTTAAAGTAGAAAAAAAATAATCCTTAATGTTAAACTATTGAGGTTAGTACAATGATAAGAGAAGGGTTCTTAAAGTCTTTTTCACTAGTATATTCAAAATTCGAATTTTATACTTGACAGTTAAGTATGACAAGAAAAGAGACGGTAAAAAAAAACTTTCCTTGGTGTAAAATTTAAATTTTTGAATTTAATGAATTAGGAAAAGGAAAATTAGATTTCACTCAATCCCGTTATTATTTTTTGACTTAATTTAGTTTTGCTTACATTCTTTGAAACAAAAGGTCATGAGTTTAAAACTCATGTGAAGTATTTTGTCTTAAAATCTTGACTGCAATGTAATTAGTGGTCTCCTATACTTCCACATGTCATTCCACGTTAGATGCCATGTCAATAGGTTGGTCTCATTTCCTTACGTCAACGTGACACGTAACATTTCGTCTTAGCTGACGTGGTACTACTGGGTTAAGATAATAGATAATTAATGCATTTGACAAAGTATCAAATGTTCTTTTATTAGCATAAATTGTTTTCAATTTCGCATTTACATAAAAACTCTTCCCAAAACTTTCACTGTTTTGCATTATTGATACGGTTACATCAAAATTTTCCCAAAACTCTTCTAACCATTAGCTCCAAGCCAACTGTCAAAGCTGTTGATCAGGGGCCCATTTCAAAAAGAAAAAGAGCGGAAGGAGGATCCTATGTTAGCTTCAGCTGAGGAGTTACACACTATGTCTCAAATTCATAATCTTCCTTTCTTGAATTCAAAGGGGGTGAGGGGAGAGTTGCTACTGAGTCGAGTTGAGTTCGAGTAGTGTATTTTACTCAAGTAAAAGTACTTGAAATCAAGTTTAAGTTTAAGTTTAAGTTTAAGTTTAAGTTTAAGTTTAAGTTTGCTTTGCTCGAATTTGATCGAGTCCAATTGAGTTTTTAAATTTTATTTTCTAGTAAATTTTATATTTTTTATAATAAATAATTATAAACTATATTGTAAATGTACTATTTGGCTTGATGAGTGTTTTAGTTTTAACTTTTTTTTATTCAAACTCAACTTAATTACATTATGAAATAGTTCAAAGTCAACTCGAACTCGATCAACACCGAGTTCAAGTCGAACCTTTGACTAACCTACTCACAAATCTAAGTCGAGTAGTTTGATTAATTTACACTCGTAAGTGAGGATCTTGGGAATCATATGCTCTGCATTGTCAAGTCAATTTTTTCTTTTTCTGCTCTTTTCCTTTATTAAAGTAACAACTCTAGCAATCACATTTTTGTCTACTAAGGAATTTCGTTAAATCTGATTATATTGGAATATTCCTTGACCTAAGTTAGCTTCAGCTGAGGAATTACACTATACCCCAAATTCATAATCTTCCTTTCTTGAATTTAAAGGAGCTTGGTGTCCCTTGGGGATGGTATGGTCTGCACCGTCAAGTCCTTTTCTCCTCCGCCCTTTTCCTTTATTAAAGTAACAACTCTGGCAATAAGGCATTTATAGTTAAATCTGATTATATTGGAATATTCCTTGTCCAAACCGAAAAAAAAGAAAGAAAAAACTTTTTCTTCATAGAAGCACTCTTTTAGTCTCTGAATCATTCTATCAAGCACAAAGCAACAAGCAGCAGGTAATTGGAAACTGAAGACAGAGATTCACAGGTTTGTATTTAATTTTCTTGGTCTTTCTTTGTCATTTCACTTTCATGTCAGCTAAAATCGTTCAACTAAGCTGTTGTATGCGTGCCCTTTTGCAGAACTTTAGAGTATCGTAGTATATTTTGTGTAGCAAAATTATGCGGTTAATTGTTCAATAGAAGTTTCAAAAACATGAAGAAATCATCACTAATACAAAAGGGATCTTTTCAACATGCATGATATACATAAATTTTGGTCAGAAATAATTATACGTAAAATCTGATCGCTAAAGCTGTAACTTCAATTGCAGGAAGCTACGATTCTGTTTGGAAAATGAAATTTAGTGCCTTTTAGCCCTGTAACCGAGAATGCTGTTATATTGGAGGATAATTTGGCTAAAAAAAAAATATCAAAGATCCCACTTATGAGCATCAATAAAGACTATCTGAAAGTTTTTATTGGAGGGAGAGTGGTCTGGATTAGTTTATTGGATTACTAATGTTGGAAAAGATGGCCATTAATCATGTAACCTTTCTTTAATCTTAAATTAATGCATTATTAAAACATAGGCAATAGTGGTCATTTGAAACAAGAATTAGTTTAGTTTTGTTGTGGTACTTATTTGTATCTCCTGCACCACTTTCCCTAGAGCCTTGAGCCACTTGCTTTAGCTATGCTAACAATTATATCCGGAATCCATGAGCTAGTGGAAAAGTATTCATTGCATTGCTTTGTCATCAGTAGTTTAGCTTTACATTATAATCTTCCTCTGTTTAAGATGTTGATTAAGGGCATGATCCATGACTTTTATAAGGAACTGGGGAATATCTATACCAGATCGATGGATAACCAAAAGGTGCATGTGCAGATAAATAAAGGGGGAAAATGAAAACTTGGCATTTAATTTTTGTTCATGTACACACACTCGTGAGCTAATAGGCATGTACTTCATGTTAATGTGCACATAAATGTTAGCATGTTACAAAGTATTTGGTGGACAAATAACTTGTATCAATTGGTCAGGCACTTGATCTGATGGTGATAATATTATTGTTTCATTCCTGAGCAGATTTCAAATTCATGCTATAGTATTACAATTTCTTTCTTTCTTTCTAAAATGAGTAATCATTTATACCACCAAACAGGGGTCTTGCAGCGGCCATGGACCAGAATAGTGTGGAACTGCAGGCAGAAAGAATTCTTGAACTTCTCAAGGAAAAACATGTGTCAACAATTGTTCTTTCTGGGAAATCAGGAAGTGGGAAAACATGGATGGCAAGAAAAGTTGGTCTGCTGGCAGTCAAAAAGAAAGTAGTTGACATTACACTTTGGATTTCTCTGAGTATTAGGCATGATGAGACGTCTCTTTATGAGCATATTGCTCATCAGTTATCTCTACTTTCCACTTCTGTGGAGCTGGAAAATTATGATATCCAGGAGGTAGAGAATAATGTTGGTAAGGATGAAAACCTTGGAGAGATTGAAAGAAAAGGTACGCGCAAGACTTTCAGCTGATAATGTTCTTCGGGGGGTTCTTGTAATTTCGGATGATGAAGGAAACAAAATGAGGGAAGGGGATGGAGGCTTAGAACAAGTCTTTCACTCTATCCAGCAGAACTCCCACCACCATTCAACAACAGCTGCTGATGGAGATGGACAGCAAAAACTTAAGGTGCTGATAACTTCTAGAAATGAAGATGGAAGGCACCAAACCCAGGGGGGTAAGAAAGTGGTTGAAATGATGCCACTGACTCCAGAAATGTCAATTTTGTTGTTAAAGCAAGGAGCTGCGGCAAAAGTTTTTGAAATTTCAGGTGTAGAAAGTGTAGTTGCAAAGTTCATCAATAGAAAAACAGATCTTGCACCTGGTGAAGTATCCTTGCTAGCAAAACTATTAAGTTACCATCAACAAGTTTCTGAACTGCAGGGTCTGGAACACACTTTGGAAGAAGCATGGTATGGTGATAACTACAACTGCACCCAGCTGCTCTTAAGTGGATATGAAAAGGTGTCAGATGGTGTTTTAGTTGACTTTTCTTGGCAGGGCAGCCATTTTTTCCGTGATAATGGATCTGTTCACTACAGTGAGTTGATATCATACTGGATACTGGAAGGATATCTTGGTCCTGTTAATAGTCTTGAGGAGGCTTATGAGGAGGGGCACCGCATTTTGATGCAGCTCATGGACTGTCAAATGTTGAAAGAAGTGAATGATGATTTCGTCCACATGGTGAGAGTAACTGGAGATGTTTCTTATCATCATCGTCGTGGTTATGGAGGAACAGCTAATCTGGGGTTGGCTAATGTGCTTGTTAAAAGTAATGATTGGCAGGGTATTGGAAAACTCACAAAGGTGGATGGTATGATCAGAACACTTGGCAGTTATAAAAGAGTGCAGCAACCATTAACATTTTTACTAGATGGCAACTGTCTCAGCAGGGAAAACCCAAATAATCTCTTACTCAGCAATCAGGAGCTGCAGATTCTGCGTCTTTTCAGCCTCAGAATTGCATCCTTTCCTCATTCTTTCAACAACTTCAAAAAACTGAATGTTCTTGTGCTCAGGGACCGTGATTTCTTAGAAAAGATCGATGACATTCGAGAACTAGTGACATTAACTGTCCTTGAAGTATCTGGTTCTGGCTTGGTGAAAAGTATGCCCAAAAACTTTTTTCAGCACCTGAAGAAACTTCGTAGCCTCCACTTCTCCGACTTTCAGATTGAAGTCATGCCTGATTCTTTTTATCACCTTACAGAACTCAGCTGGCTCATTCTAAAAAGGTTTTCTCATTTAACAAAGTTGCAGAGCCTGAAAGAGTGTCAAAACCTTATGGTTGTTGATCTTTCTGGTGCTGCCTCCTTGCCAACTTTTCCAGAAAAGAACTTGAAATCATTGCCGAAACTTCAAACATTAAATCCTTCAAGCTCCAAGATCAAATCTTTGCCTATTTTTCATGAAACTGGAGAGCTTACTCATCTATCAGTTAGTGGTTGTACCAACATGGATAGAGTGCCCAGCATTCGGTCTCTAACTAATCTGCAAGTTCTTGATCTTTCATGGTCAACCATAGTAGAGTTCCAGGACAAGTCATTTCAAAATAATACAAGTCTGAAGATCCTTGATTTATCTGGAACTGCTATTCCTTCATTACCTTTTAACATCAGTAAACCTCGTGAGTTCTATTTGAAAAAATGCTCTGAGATAAAATACATGAATTGTATTGAATCTTCCAAAGAACTAGAGATACTTGATTTTTCAGGTGCCTGTAATCTTGTAAAAATTGAAGGAAAGTTCTTTGAATGTTTATGTAAACTAAAAAAAAGGGAGAGAAAAATACTCTTCTTCATCTCATTCTTGGACTACACAATATACAAATATATATACACAAGTGGATACTATAATCATATGATACTATAATCATACTATTACCTAATTAATATATGATACTATAATCACATGATACTAGTATCCACTTGTGTATATATATTTGTATATTGTGTAGTCCAAGAATGAGATGAAGAAGAGTATTTTTCTCTCCCTTTTTTTTAGTTTACATGGTATCAGAGTTTCAGGTTCCCGATTCAGCTTCAGGTTTTGGGTCATGGTTAGATTTTGGGTTCTTGATGACAATAACAAGTTTTGGGTGCTACAGAGAGTGAAGAAGAAAAAAAAAATTTTCGTTGGAGTTCTGTTGGGTGTTGAAGAAGAGTTATTTGGCCCGTTGGAACTCGTCAAGGGTTTGGAGAAGATGGTGGAGCAATATTACTATATTCGTGGCTTTTAACCCGTTGGGATCTATTGAACCTTTTGTGAAATTTGGCTCGTTGGGACCTATTGAGCCTTTTGCATTCTGATTCGTTGGTGGCTCGTGGTGGTTTGTTGGGACTTTTGTGGTTCGTTGAGATCCGTTGGGACTTTTATGGAGAAAGTGGAGCTTGTTTGCTATTCGTCTATTATTTGCCGATGTTGGATACATGCCAAAGTGGAGATTTATTGAGTGTGTCTTTGTATCCCACATCGGAAGTTTAACAAAGAAAGCTCTTCTTGCGGTAGTTATAAATATAGTGCACTTAAGTGAGTGTGCTAAGTGCACCAGCCCAAGTGCCATGGGCACTAGCTCAAGTGTCATGTGCACCAGTCCAAGAGAATTTTTAGGGGGCTCACGCCCCAGTTTAAGAGAGGTTTTGACTTGGCATCAAACCAAAAGAGCAAGTCATGGGCCTTTGGGCCATTAAACATTTAGTGCTATTTAGGCTCTTTTGTGTTTTCAGTTTAGGTGCCTTTTGGACCTGGAAATTATTTCCTAAGGTTTTGTACTCTCTCTTTTGTACTCTCTTTCTATTATAGTAAATCTGCTACCCCTTCGCCCGTGGACGTAGGTCAATTGGACCGAATGTCTCTCTGTTTGATTTATTTGTTCTGTTATTGTCATTATTGAGTTGCCAAGAACTCTATTATTCGCAAGTTCTTGATCTTTCATGATCAACCATAGTAGAGTTCCAGGACAAGTCATTTCAAAATAATACAAGTCTGAAGATCCTTGACTTATCTGGAACTGCTATTCCTTCATTACCTTATAACATCAGTAAACCTCGTGAGTTCTATTTGAAAAAATGCTCTGAGATAAAATACATGAATTGTATTGAATCTTCCAAAGAACTAGAGATACTTGATTTTTCAGGTGCCTGTAATCTTGTAAAAATTGAAGGAAAGTTCTTTGAATGTTTAGAAAATCTCCGAGTTCTCAACCTGTCAGGAACAAAGATCAACCATCCCTTTCTGCTCTCCACAACCTCCATCAGCTGTTACTTTCATGTTGTCTGAATCTGGAGAAGTTGCCAAGGTTGGCTTCAAGCAAATTGGAAGAGCTCGATCTATCTGACTGTAAGGCAATGACAATGATAGAAGATAAATCTTTTGAGCATCTACCTCGCCTTCATCAGCTTGTCCTCTCTCAAACAAAGATTGTACACTTACCAGAACTCAACTCCCTCTCAAATCTTGAGGAGCTAAATTTGAGTGGTGTTAAATCATTTACCGGAGCTGATTTCATAGAACACATGAGCAAACTTCAGGTTCTAAACCTCTCCGAGACCTTGCTTAAAGAGCTACCGCCCTTAACGAATCTCAAAAGCCTTAAGCATCTGTTTTTGAGGGGCTGTGGACAACTAGAGGTTCTCCCTGTCTTGGAAGTACTTCACAACCTTGAGACTAGTGATCTTTCTCAAACAGCACTGAGGCAACTGCCGTTTGTAGGAAGTTTGAGTAACCTGCATAAACTGTTGCTCAGGGACTGTTCAAAATTGGAAAACTTTAAAAACCACAAGCTGCTTGACACTTCTGGAGTTGAAAATCTCCCTTGTGGAATCTCAAGATTGACTCAGCTGCAACATCTTGCTTTACCCAGTATGAAGGAAGACATCCAAGTAGCTGACACCAATGAGGTAACTAGCTGGAAGCAAAAGCCTAGTGCATCACATTGGTCCTTCTCCATTGTGGATCGAACAGTACCAAACACTAGCAAATCTTTACTTTCTTATAACAGTTCACTATTTCTTGAATTTCTGGACTGCAATCCTTCTGTGTTGGACTCAACCTCAAATCATTTCCATCTCTTTGTTCATCCTACTGAGGTACAAAATGGTGCAGGGGACATGCTCTTCCACAAGGATGAATTGGTTTTTAGAGATGTCTATCTATTAAGTAGGCATTGCTCTAAATCTCAAGGGCGGTTAGTGGAGATTCATCATCTGAGTGGTTTTTCCGAGGGCATTGAGGCTGTACTTCATAATGCTGAGTATATATTCTTGTTTGATAGTTTGTTTTTCAAATCATTTTCTGATTTAGGTGCTGGCAACATCAAGACGTTGAAAGGCTGTTGGATTGAGGGATGTGAAAATATGGAGTTCGTTATCGAGACGAATGACTCAGTAGACAGTAGCGAACGGGGGATAGAACTTGAGATTTTATGGATTTCAAATGCATCGAGTTTAAGGAGCATATACAGCGAAAACCTGCAGTTGGGGAGCTTTCAGAATCTGAAGTGCTTGTATCTAGATTGTTGCCCAAAGCTGTTGAGTGTTTTCTTTTCATCCCACCTGCTGCAGATGCTTGAAATTCTTCATGTCAGATTTTGTGAGAATTTGGTGGCTTTGTTTGGAGATTATGTAGAAGAGCATAAATTGCCAAACTTACGAACATTGCGTTTGTGGGAACTACCAAAACTGGAAAGCATTGGGTGTATAATGCCGTCTCTACAAAGTTTAGAAGTAGGCGAGTGTCCCATGCTTGGACACATGCTATCTTCACGTCATGTACCAGAAAAACTTGAGGTCCTTAAAGTCAGAAATTGTAGTGAGTTGGGCAATTTGCTTGAAGGATTGACATCAGACAACTGCAAATTGCCTCATCTAGCTGAAGTTCACCTGTGGGGATTACCAAAGCTGACAAGAATTGGGATTGAATCACCCCTGTTGGGATCTTTAGAAATTGGAGATTGTTCTGTGCTTTTACATGTTTGTTCTGTGAGGATTCGAAAATTCTATTATTTTTTTTAAATCCCTAATTTTGGCTAAAATAATTATTTATTTGGATTATTGCCACGAATAATATTTTCTAGCTTTATTAGACCAAAGTACATGATTTTATAGTTTCGTCATATTTCTAAAATGTCTCATTTCGAAAAAATAAAATAAAATAAAAATATAGATAAATAAATAAATATTTTCATAAAAGCTTAATTAGTGAAAAAATGAAAACGTATCTCAAAACTTTAGCCAATTGGGAGTACAATAAGCTCAAAATTTGAGACCTAAACAATGGTCCTAAAATAGACAATTTTAGGTTTAATTACACAAGTGATAGCTAGTGGTACAATCGTTATAGGAATTTCTCAAAGGTTTCAATTTTTATTGCGCCTAAATTAGAAATACGTGGTTTCACGTGCGCGCTTAATTGGGGGACTTTGGACCATTATTTTGGGACAATTAAGAATGAAAAATATTTATATAAATGTAAGTGTCTTAGAGGTTTAGTGCACTAGTACAACAAACGTAAGAGAAATCGAACACAAAACGCGCGCGTAGGGTACTAGTTATAATTGATTTGACGTATTAAAAGATTTGACGTCAAGCGTCTTTCGTACGCAAAGGCTTCAGAACCGCATTTCATTTCATTTCATTTCTTCTACTGCAACGGACGGCTAGCAGCTGCAAGGGACAACCGAAGCTTCACCATTCCTTTCTTCCAAAACTCATCCAAATCCTTACCAAAACTTCCATAGATTCTCACCAAACTTCACATTCATTTAGCTTTTCACTTGGACAACAACTTAGCTGCAAAAGGAAGGAGCTATCCACGGTTTCTTCAAGCTTCAAACGGTCGAAAAATGTGTCCAAACCAACCATCAAAGTAGGTAGTAATCAAGAACCTTAAACTTGTCTTATGGAAGTTGATCTATGCATTTGAGTTGGAATCTTCACTTTAGTAGCTTGTATTGTTGGAAATGTGGGCTCTATGAACTCCCACTTTGGGTTGATGGCTGTGATGATATTTGATGATGGTTTTATTGCGGAATTAGAGCTTAAGGAAGTAGATTAAAGGTGTATTGTGGCCAGAAACGTTGTTGAACTCTTGAAGCAAAAAGTTCCCATTTTACCCCTGTTCTGTTCGATCACTTTAATGCAGAAATTTGAGGATTTAATGGCTTGATTGTGTTTTCTATATGTTGTAATAGTTGTGTAAAAATTTTCATTGAAAAATACTGAGTTTTGGTGGGTCAAACGAATTTATTTCAAAAACTAGTAATCTGGAAAACGGTTTCGCCGTAATCCAGACCAGTGTTTGTATTTTGTCCACAACTCCTTACTCCGATGTTGAAATCAAGTACCGTTTGCCGCATTTGAAACTAGACGTTTCCATGTTTCCAACGGTGTATAATACACATTCTGGTTTTAGGTGTGTGAGCCACACCATTCATCTGAATTCGGCTGTCCTGTTTCTCCGTTCTGCCGAAATGATTTGATGATACTGCAACTTGAGGCTTGATTTTGAACTAGTTGCATGCTGAAACTTAAAACGATTTCTTCTGTGAAGTTGTAGCCCTATGAATGTATTTTCTAACACTATCAACCATTTCCAATTCCGAGTTAAATTGAGGGAGTTATGATCAATACACGGCAACTGCCTCATTTTTGAAAACCTTAGCTTTGGACAGATTGCCTTAAGGATTTTCCAAACTTTGGTTGATTGATTAACCACCTTTCCGAGGGTATTTTTCCATGAGATTTGATAGAGAATTACCCTTCATATAGGAGTAGTATACTGCAAAATTTGGTGTCAATCCAAGTCCGTTTCGACACTTAACAAAAGGTCCAAAGTCGGAACCAAATCTGGAAATTTTGTAACAGTTTTGAATTTTTCCCAACTTTGAGCTACCATATCTTGGTGCTCGAAACTCCGATTCTCGATCTGTTTGTTCTTCCCTAAACCTTACTTGCACCTCTAATTGAGCTATAAGTTTCAAGGGCTGGTTTGCAACGAGTGAATTCTTCCGAATTTTCAAAGTTAGCGAAAAACCAACCCCGGCTCAATCCTGGGTGATTTGGAACAGCAACTTTAGGCTCATTTTTGAGCACTTTCCACTTCGATTCATGGAAAAGTGTCTTCTAGGAACTTGCAGTACTTTCTAAGAGGTTTTCAACGGTATAAATTTTTCCAATTCTCGACTTATGCCGAGTGAGTTACGATTTTTCAAATATTCATAACAAAACTGAAATTTTCCAACTTTCAAGAAAATAGAGTTTTTCAAGAACTCTTTATTCTTTTGATATTATCTAAACGTTTTATCCCCGATTTCCTAGATAAAGACTTAAATATTGTTGAATGTTATCAAACCTCTCTCGAATCTCGATTTACGAGTAATTGAGGTTCATTTTCACGGAATTCCCTAGAGTAATACTAGTGAACGAATTATTCCTCGTTATTTGGGATATAGATGATAATTCACTATTATTTGCTCAGGCACGCACGAGGACCTCCAAGAGGACCCTACTGTGGAAGTTTGAACTCTTCCTCCAATTTACTTGCTTGCATAACTTGGTGAGTGTCAAGTGTATGCCTACTTGAACTCTAAAGACTTGATTCCTGTTTGACTTACCTGATTACATGCTTAGTCTATTGGATTTTGAAAAATGGAGTCGAGTGTGTACTTAATCGCACTCGTTCTCATTTGGAACAAATGACTCATGTTTGACATGCTTTGCATGGTTTATATGACTTGAAATACATGATTAAAACTGTCAAATGCTTGAATATATGACATGGTATGCTACGATTGCATACGTCGATGGAGTGAATCTCCTCGACATTTACATGATACATGGGGGACGCCCAAACTCATAGGCCGACCTTGGAACCCGAGCCGGCATGGGATTGGTCGGGAACCTCGGTGAACCATGAGATTCACATGATAAGCTTGATCTATTGAGAGATCTCGCTTGGCATACTCGTAAAGTATCGCCTTATAAATGTCGTGCGGGCCCGAAGTGGTGTATGGTGAACGGATGAGAAGTAAGTGGTGAACTACGGATATGAAAATATCAACCCGGGTGACGGAGAGCCATCACGGGGAGATATACAAATGACATCGGCAAATGTGGAACTTAGCTCCTGAGAGCTTCTATATCCTTGAATTGTTTCTGATTACATTTTTGTTGGCGTTATTAATTACTTGCAAGCTATTACCGAATTGTTAATTGGGTTTGTTATTTGAACTAGGTGTCTGCATGTGTGTTCTTGGCCTCACGAGCGTTTTGCTCACCCTGTAGACTTGTTTTCCTTAACAGGTTTGAATTCGGAGGTAAAATGGAGCAGCCCTCTTGATGTATTTTTGTTTTAGGGCTTGCCATTACTTTTGGTTATGCCTTTGGTTTTGGATTGTACTTTTGGTATGGAAATGTAACCTTTGGACGAAATGTATTATGTATACTGACGTGTGGTTTGGAGAGTGGATGACTGTTATTAAGTTTGAACACTTCCGCATTTATTGTATTTAAGTTATCGATTTGTGTTGTGTGGTTCGGATATAAGTTGGATGTAATTGTTTGAGTCCTGGCGAGAGTTTGGCAGGCGTCCCGTGGATACCCTTTGGTTCGCCTTAGGGAGAAGTGGGGGCGTCACAGTTGGTATCAGAGCGCCAGGTTAGAGGTCTATATGGGAGACATATTAGATACTCTACCTTTAAGACTCGATACGGGATGACTTAATCATACCCTAAGTGATACTTGAGGCGAGCTAGCAACTAAGTTAGTCCTACCTCAAGTGACAATCGGGATGAACCAATGATTAAGTTAGGCATGCATTGCAGGATATTGGAACTAGGTAGTGATTTAAGTTTCTAACCTGAAAAGTATTGTTATTTTGAAGGGATGGATGACGGAAATGGAGCCCCGACAGCTAACGGGAATGACCATGCGAATGGTCATTATGAGACTCTTAGGACTATCTTCTACCGAGCTCTAGCGGGAGGAGCTCGAGTACGCTACTCACCATATGATAGATACCCTCGATGCTCGTGTAGGTTGACTTTCGCCTACCCGAACTATCTAGTGCTTGCTCTGGATGACGAGCGTCGTCAGTTGGTGGATGCCAACCGCGATCTACAGGCTGAGGTAGACGAGTTTCGGCAGATGGTTAGCGCTCAGGGTGAGCGGATTGCCGAGCTCGAGGAGATGATTGAGGGGGAGGTAGCCACATCTGCAGTGGTTAATGAGGAGTTTCGGGATACTAGGGCTCGACTCACTAGACTAGGACGGGATGTCCCTAACCGGGCTTTTGAGATCCTGGCTGATGCTACTAGATTGGTTGAGAACGCTACTGAGGTGATTCCTGATGCTGAGGAGGAGGATCCCGAGGAGGAGGTTCCTCCTGATAGTCCTGCTGCGGACTAGGTCTAGATTGATCGACGTCTTTTGACCCTTTTTGACTAGTATTAGCAGGGGTGATGCTAAGTGGTGAGACCATTGTATTTTGCATGATTGTGTGGCCTATTTCTGAGGCATTAGCTTTACTTTAGTCTTCTGTGACTAAAAGTACTCTTGTGGCACCTGTGTGCTATATTTTTTGTGACTACCCCATGACTTGCTAATTGTATGAACTGGATATGCTAATTAATGTAAATTATTGTTAATTCCAATGTTTTCTTGATTGGTTCCTGCTTTCTATTTTTGCATCGCATAATTATTTATTTCTTGCACTAGACACGCCTAGGTCATGGAAGGACTAAGAGGTGGTCTAGGTCGTGGTCGAGACCGTGGTCGAGGTCGTGGGCGAGGGACTAGTCAGGCCCAACCTCAAGGGGGTGACCAGGGATCGGCAACTACACCGATCCAAGGTCAGGAAAATATTGAGGGTAATCAAGTGGCTATTGCCATTAATAGGATGACTGATATCCTAGAGCGTTTGGCTGATAGACAGGACCCTGGACCGTTCAACCAACCTGGGGGTCAGGAGAGAGGAATGGATAGAGCCTTAGAGAGATTCTTGAAATTTAACCCGC